CACCTTTATTTTGATTCTTCAGTTCACTGTTAATATGCCTGTATATAGTTGAGTGGTTTCAAAATAAATCCTTTTATTGTTAACATTGAGAAGTCCCTCTGTACCGCATAGTTTCCCCAGCTGCTTGGACACGCTAGGAGTGGGTTGGGGACTGAGAACAAGGGCAATATGGCCAGTTGCCAACTCTCCAGGGGAGCCCCAAAGATTGCCAGGAAGCCCCGAGGTGGGTTCCTAGCGACATCAGAGGGAGGTTAGGAGGCTGTCCCGCCTAACCAGAGCCCAAGACAGGGACAGAGGTGGCAGCAATACCCGGAGGCAGTGGTGAAAAACTGCCCCTTCAGGTGCCAGGTCAGCCAAAGGAGGGGTGGGCAGAGCAGGGCCTGCCAGCTGACGCGGGCCCGTTCTGCCACAATAGTCCTAACATAAGTCAGGAATGTTATCTATTATTTACATTTCAAGACATTGGGATCAGAATAAAATGGAGATCCGTAGTTTCAGCAAAGGAAAACATAAAATTGTTATGGGAATGTAATAAGTGAGAAAAGCAGGGTAAAGTCCAATTTTCTTTTTCCCCTTGAAAGATCAAGTCTTCATATTCCATTTATTTAAAGTATAAACAACTTTAGTCCTTATTTCAGCAGCTTTGGTTTAATAGTTTAGAAAGTCTTCATGTTGTTCCAGCAGCTTTCTTTTTATTTCCAGACAAGAGGGGAGAAAGGGGGGGGGAAGAGAGACTCCATTTCTTTTCACCAAGATTCAGTGTTAAATTCAACTAGTTTCTCTCCAGTTTTATATTTTATATTCCACAAAATACAGTCTTACAGAAGATCTTTCTCTTTATTTTCTTTGCTCAAGAGACTATTTGAGAAGTTGCTTTAAATTCTCTTCATAGCCGCCAGAAAGGAAGGAGTGGGACAGGAAGTGACTTCTTCACCCCTCCATTTCATTGTCTTTTTAAACTTTAAAGGGGCTTTAATGATGGGTAGTAGATTTTTTGATATTGTTGCTTTAAGATATACATACGGTGTTATACTTCATTGGTGTTATGCATGAGGTCCCAGCTTCTCCCCCCTCCGTTGGGGCAGTCACAACTATGCACAGCCATGTCTGCATGGGCACAGTCAGCTGGCTCCTGTGTCGGGACACATTCAGATCTCTGCCTGCTTGCTGCTGCTTGCAGGGGGGGGGTTCAAATCAAATCCCTTGCAATGAGCTCCTCTATGGGGAACTCATTGGCGTTTGGGAGCCCCTGAACCCCTTTAAGGAAGCCAGCAATCCAGTCAACCCTTGGGAGAGCTTCCCAGTGCGACCGTTCTCATCGCACCTAAACCCCACCTCCAGCAAGCTAGTGTTATAGATTATTTCATTAGAACAAAGTTTGAGTCCAGTGGCACCTTTAAGAACAACAAAGTTTGATTTAAGGTATAAGCTTTTGTGTACAAACATACTTCTTCAGATACAGAGTTTCTTCTGGGAGTTTCCTCCTTTTGGGACAGTGATCATCACCCTATTGTTTTGCACATGAATACGTCATATGTCAAACTCTTTGTAATCAAGCAAGACTGTATATCCCAGAATCAAAACTTTCTATGTCACTTTCCACTGGAATGACAACACTGCTTGCCTGACCCAAGATATGATGGCCTCCCCAGAAGTGTTATCTTGAAGGCGATCATTATTTGGGTCTGATGTAGCTAGGGGTTCTCTTACGATCTTGTATAGGCTATTCTCCCTCGTCAAGCCCTACTCTAAAATTATGCCTGACACTGCTCCTTTTGTGAGGCCCCTGGCCCCCAAGAATCCTGGTACGTGGTTTGACAAAGAGAGCAGGCTTATCAAAAGACAACTACAGTGAAAACACAGAAAGCTAAAGAACAATAATACCATACTTGTTTTGAGGGAATTTTCATCTCTTAAGAGATACTATAGACATCTAATAAAGCATACGAAGGAGACTTTATAACAACTTAGCATTTTGGCCAATTATTAATACGGGCACTAGAATGTATGGAAGCATTCCCTTCTGTATTCATCCAGAACTCTGGGAGTCTTAAAAACCTGTTTGCTACTTCCAGTGAACTTCTAACTCCTGAGATACTTGAACCTGATGGCCCTCTTCCTGACTGGCCTGAGGTGACCCCTTCTCAAGCTGAAGGCTTATCCATCGCCTCAGCTCAGGGAAGGCTGCTGGAGCAGACCTTATCCCAAATAACTCCTGAGATACTTGAACCTGATGGCCCTCTTCCTGACTGGCCTGAGGTGACCCCTTCTCAAGCTGAAGGCTTATCCATCGCCTCAGCTCAGGGAAGGCTGCTGGAGCAGACCTTATCCCAAATAAATTATTCAAATTAAATTTATCTTGGTGGGCAGAGATCCTTGCTCCACGGTTTTCACAAATAAACATGTCTGGGGTCATTT